AATCGTTTTAAAATTGGCGTAGTTTTTGATCGACCAAATTTAGCAAATGCATTTATGGATAATTCCACATTTTTGAGGGAACAGTCCATCAAAGCTTCAATTCCTGCAGGATGTACCGAATTATCTGGAGTTATTACATCCGTACCCATAGATATGTCCAATAAAAAAATTTATAAAGCATTGTCCAGCTCAAAGAAAATTATTTGTGTCAGACGTATAATGCGTAAAAATAAAACTAGCAGTAACAGTTTCGAATTACAACCCACTCAAACTGTTGTAATAACATTTGCGGCAACATGCCTACCAGATTATGTACATATTAAAATGTGGCGCCTTCCAGTAATTCCATACATCCCTCCAGTAAAGCAATGTTTTCGTTGTCTTAAATATGATCACCTAGCAAAATTCTGTAAAAATGCTCAAAGATGCTCTATTTGTACAGAGGGTCACTCTTTTAAGGAATGTACAGTTCCAGTAGATAAAGCAATATGTATACATTGTAAGGGTAACCATTTAGCGATATCAGGACAGTGCCCAATCAAATTAAAGAAAATTTATGAAAATAAAAACAAAACTGTAAATAAATACTCAGATGCATTAAAATCAAATAATTTTCCATCTTTAAATAAAACAGAAAATACTCATGACATAATGGAATTAGTTTTAAAAAATAGTTCTGCATTAAATCTCATCACTGAAGCAATTGTCAAAGTAATCACATTGAACAAAACAGAAAATGCTAGTATTAGTTCTCAATCAATAAGTAGTGCAATAAAAGAAACTCTATTAAATAAAAATAATTCCCCTCCACATTCCTGAATTGTGTTAATATTGTACAGTGGAATGCACAAAGTTTGCTAAATAATAAACTTGAGTTCCAAAAGTTTCTTTATGATAATAATATACACATAGCTCTAATATCGGAAACTTGGCTCAAACCCAATATAAAAATTGAAATACGCGGATATAACATAATCAGAAATGATTGTGGAAATGATCACAATGGCGTAGCCATCGTCATTAAAAATGGTATAAATTTTCAACAGCTACAAACTTTCTATGATGATACTTTGCAAAATATTTCAATCAAAATAAAAATAAAAAATAAATTTATTTCGATTATAAGTTTTTACAGTCCTGGTAGTGCTAATTTTTCAAAACACAAATTTGATTCTCTCTTGCATAGTGTTCCAAAGCCGTTGATTATAGCTGGTGACTTTAATGCTCATCATACTTTCTGGGGTTGTTCTAGTACTGATTCTCGAGGCAGAGACATCATGGATTCCTTGGATGAGAATGGTTTAGTACTCTTAAACAACGGGATGCCAACAACAGTAGGTTCTCACATCTGGAGGCCCAACGGCCTAGATCTCACTATGGTCTCTTCGTGCTTAGTTTTGTCTTGTGAGTGGTCAATACATAATGATTCCTTAGGCAGTTATCATCTGCCGACTATAACAAAATATTCTCTTGACATTAGTGATGGTGTGTCCTTTGTTGAGTCTTCGAACATTCCTCCACATATTAATCTGAAACTAGTAAATTGGAATTTATATAAAAAATACATAAATGATAACTTGATAAATTTCCAAATCAATAACTCAAACATATTGGAATCATATAATAATTTCTGTTCAATTATTAATAAAGTAGCTCAGGACTCAATAACTAGTATAAATAATAGTAAACATAATAAGGTGGGTCACTTGTCAGGGTTTAAAAAAAGAACACTTCCTTGGTGGAATGATAATTGTGCTAAAGTGGTTCAAAATTGCAAAAAGGCTTATATACTGTTTAAATCTAGTCCTTCTTTATGTAACTATATTAACTTCAAAAAGGCGCAAGCCCTAAAAAAACGCACTTTACGTCAGGAGCGCTGTCAGTCTTGGCTTGAATTTTGTACCTCTGTTAATAGATTAACACCGATGAGTCAAGTGTGGACTCAAATGAGAAAATTAAAAGGTTCTACCTCTAATACCACATTGTTTTCCAATTATGAATGGAGTTCTGATTTTTTATACAAATATACACCAGATACTGTCCAAAATGATAGCAATCTTCTGCCAGACACCCAAGTTAATAATACTAACTCTTACATGATAGAACCATTTTCACTTCAAGAATTAAAATCTGCTTTAAATTCTAGGAAGGAAACTGCTTGTGGATTAGATTGGTTGTCATATAAAATGTTCAAACTGTTGAATGATACCAGTCTCGAAATTTTTTTAAATATTTTAAACTTGTTTTGGTCTCTGTCTATTATACCAGAAGAATGGAAGACAGATTGTTTGGTTCCAATATTAAAAAAAGGGAAGGATTCTAATTCTGCTCACTCATATCGCCCTGTCACACTCAGCTCTTGTGTAGGTAAAATTTTTGAGCAGTTAATAAAACAAAGACTGACATTCCATATAGAAAACAATTATATCTTACCATCTAACCAATTTGGCTTCCGATGTGGCCGTTCTGCTCGGGAGAGTCTAAGCCATTTGTGTCTGGACATCCATGATACTCTGTCTCAGAATAAAATTATGGCATGTGTCTTCTTCGATATTGTAGGGGCTTTTAATAATGTTGATTTAGGTGTTTTATATTCAGTTTTGTTATCATTAAATATACCTGCAAAAATAGTAAATTGGATTTACAAATTTTTAAATGGCCGTAAGATATTTGTGAAAATCAATAAACAGTTAATTGGTCCAAGATATTCCTATAAAGGAGTGTCTCAAGGTGGGATATTAAGTCCCTTGTTGTTTATTTTATACATCCATCAATTAAATATTGTTTTAGGTAATAATGTTTCTAACCTACAATTCGCTGATGACTTGGTAGTCTATTGTTCAGGTTTGAATAAGCTGGATATCCAAAATAAACTTAATACTGCCCTAAAAAGCCTACAAAAATATTTTCAAAATCTCAATCTAGATGTGAACAATGAAAAAAGTAAGGTAGTCATATTTTCAAAAAAAGCTGTAAAACCTAATTCAATTAAAATATACTATAACAATGAAACAATGCCTATAGATAATACAGTTAAATTCTTAGGTGTTACATTTTGTAGCAATTTTAAATGGAACAGGTATGTTGATTATTTAGCAAACAGAGCTCTCAAAGCTTGCAATATTTTAAAATCTTTAGCTGGAGTATATTGGGGTGCTGATCCAGCTACACTGTTAGTTCTGTACAAGTCTTTGGTTAGGAGTCATTTTGAATATGGTTTTCTATGTTATAAACAGGCAACTAATTTGGTAGAGAAATTAGAAAAAACTCAAAATAAATGTTTAAGGATCATTACAGGTGCCATGAGATCAACACCAATCATCTCTTTACAGGTAGAATGCAACATACCTCCTTTATCACTAAGGTTCAAATATCTTCAAGCAAAATTCTTTCTCAGTATTTTTTCAATCAGTGATCACCCTCTTGTTTCTAAGCTAAGACATGCTGCCAGCAAAGCTGATGTCGGTTCAACCTCATTAATCCAGGGTTTTACTGAAAATGTACAGTTTTTTCATGATAATAATTTGTTTTCTAGTATTATTTGGCCTTGCTATTTAGGAAATTACAATTCAAAATTTTGTAAAGTTAGTATAGTTATAAATGAACAAAAATGTAAACAAGATGTATATAGACAGTTAGATAAGTGGAGGGATTACAATCATTTATACACAGATGGCTCTAAAAACAATAATGCTGTATCCTTTTCTGTGTATAATAAACAAACTCGAAGTGGGTTTGGACATAGGTTAAATGATATGGCTAGCATTTACACAGCAGAATCTCTTGCTATTTTATTTGCTCTGGAATATATTGCAAGTCAGCAGGGAAAGAAATGGTTAATAATTACAGACTGCATGAGTATATTAAAATCACTTCAAAACCCTAAGTGTATTTCAAAAACTAGTTACATAACTCACAACATTCGTAAGCAATATTCTTCTTTGTCTCATTCTAAAGAAATCACTTTTTTCTGGACTCCGTCTCACATAGGTGTGTTTGGAAATGAACAAGCAGATTACCTGGCTAAATCAATTGTTGATCATTATGAAAGTGTCCCAATTTTAAATTTTCCAATTCCTGCTTCTGATGCTTTATCTCATGTTAAATCCTCAGCTGTCAAGGAATTTTATGACGAATGGCAACAAATTGTTCAAAACAAAGGAAAGTGGTTGGCAGAGATTAAAACCAAGATTTCTCCTCCATGGTTCTATGGAGGAATCTTTCGAAACAGAAAATTCTACACCACTATTTGCCGATTACGCTTAGGTCATTGTCGTTTTGGTGCCCACTTGTTTCGCCTTGGAGTCTTATCTTCATCAACATGTGAATTTTGCAACCTTGCTGAACAAACTCTTGATCATTTAATTTTCAGTTGTCGTTCTTTTAGTCTCCAACGTATAATTCTTATAGACAGTCTTCTGTGTATATATAAAAAAGCTGATGACATCCCGCGTTCGCTTCAGCAACTTCTGAAGAAAAAGGAGTGCTTTGTATATATTTACGAATATGTAACCTCAACCATTGGGGAAATCTAACGTTGTTTTTTCTATGTCAATTTAATTTTGTTTATTTTCAATTTCCTTCGTTTGTATATTTCGCTTGTTAATTTGTAAATAAGATGTAACCACATAAAACTTAAAAAGACTTGGCTTCGGCCTTTTGACTTAGACTGAGAATACAAATTTCTATTAAAAAAGACTTGGCTGTGGCCGTTGAATAAGAATATTAATGAATATAATTACAAATGACAAGGCTGTATGGGCTAAGCACCCTTTGCCTTCCCCTTCCCCTGTAGGAATGGGAAAATTTGAACCAAAAAAAAAAAAAAAAATGTCTATGGGATATAACTGTCATTACAAGTTGGTTTGTTTACGTTTTTTGGGATACCGTTGTCAACCAAACTGTCGGTGAAAAGAGCATGTAAACGTTGAAAAAATGAAAATACTATAAAATATTAAACTATATACTGTTGCTTAGTACGTGATTATTTAATCTCTAAAATGAGGACTGTGCCAAAATGGGTGAATAAAATACATGAAGCTGATAAAGTGGAGTTTTCTAGGTACGCTTATCATAATATTAAAATAAAATAAACGTTAAACAACAGTATAACTTCATTTATGTCGTTATTTTAGTGTCCACACCATATGCTTCAGCCCTGATGGTACTCAACTAGTAGTTGGTGCAGGAGAGAAAGTTATGGTGTATGATCCCCGTGATGGAGCTCTTGTACAACTTCTCCAAGCACACAAGGGAGCAGTGCATGCAGTCGCTTACTGTAGTGATGGAAAGAAATTTGTTTACATGGCTAGTGTCGTTACTTTAACATATGGTTTATATCGATAATTTTAATATTTAAAAATATATTAATTATTTTAGATTACCAAAAGATGAAACAAAAGAGGAAAATTGCTGAGTTACATAGAAGCAGAAAATATTAAATGTAATGAAAAAGTTACTTTTATCTGCTCACTTCATTTTAGGGAAAGTTGTTTGAATCGAACTGTAAATATAATAAAATTACGAGATGATGCATTGCCAATCAAATACTCTGGTAAGAATTTTTGACAATTGCTTTTAACTTATTTAAAAAAAAAATGTCTATTACACTTAGTTAATTTTCATTTGATTTTACTGATTTATTTATATAGTCATTTTGTTATTCTATAAATGTACCTTATTTTTAGTCTTGCGGTCATATGACGACTATTTTAATTGAAAAAATTCAGAATGCAATATATAATAATATTAAAATATAAAATTCTGATCATAATATACTCCCAGTAAAATATACAATAAAATGAGTTAAATAATTTTAATAAAAATTAAAATATGCACATTTATTAAATTAAAGGCATAGTTAAAGGTTTTCTTTGCTGTTCAATAATATAATCTTAATACCCAAAAAATTATTTTGCGGCGTGGATGTTTATTTTGCTGATGCATCATAAAATACGCTACCTTTTTGAATTTAAATTGCTGACCGTTATCATGATTGTTCACAGAACATGAATTGCAGACTGTTTTAGTGCTGAGAAAATATTTGTATGCTTGCCTATTGATTAATCGGCTGTTTTCTTCTTGCTAACCAAATTTTTAAATAAAATGCCAATTGTTACTTCTTTAATAATGTTACTGTTATGCCAATTGTTACTTATTCATCACCAACTTTGTTTTCTTTATTTTCTCTTGTTTATTCATCAAAGTTTACAGTATTTTTATGTTCTTTTACCAATAATATAATACAAAGATTATGTAGGTGTTTCAAGTTTTCTATGTTTACTACTAAACAAGATGTTCTGAACTAAAATTGTGACACAGTACGCACGGTATCTCACTTAATGAGGAGGAAGCGAAATTTATTCAGTCAAAACAATTTATTGAATAAATTTATAGACAAGTTGGCTTACTAGTTACAAGCATATAAGAAAGTCGAAACTCTGTGCTTATAGTTCAGCAATCTATTACGGGAAACCTTGTACCGAGAAAAGAAGAAACTGTAAGAAAGGAACCGGTAAGAAAATGCAAAGGCTGCTTTTGCACCCTGTTTAATTTCGTACTGAAAAATAAAAAATGACTTCATTGGACCAAAATATCACTTTCCACCAAAACAATAAAAAATATATAACAGACAAAAAAAAGCATAATAATTCATTCGTCAATCGACTCATTCAAAGCTTATTATAGTTACCGTGGTAGTTATCTTGGACAGTAGTCACACTTCCCGTGGATGCAAAATTAAACTTATGTTAAAAAAACTATTTAATTATAATTGCCAAATGTCAACTTGACAATATATATGGAAATAATTATAAAACACGATTGATATTATTGTAAAACTTTTAAGATATATATTTTGGTACTATAGTTCTTAAAACTATGTAAAATTGGCTATATTAGAGGAAAAAGAAACATATTTATCGAGGTACAATCATATTATAAAATTATATTATTAAATAATATAAATGTGAAAGTTTGTGAGGATGGATGTTGGTTACTCTCATGTAAAAACTACTGAACGGATTTTGATAAAATTTGGAATACGAATAATCTTTTACCCGTGGGAAGCGCCATTATACGCTGGTAACATATGGTATATTTACTATAGTGACGCAACGGAGTCGCAAGAACAAAGAACGCAAGAAATTTTAGATGTCCAACAAAATACGAGCAAAAGATTGCTTAATGATTTATAAATTATTTATAAATTCACGCCACTTTAAAAAAAAATATTATTTTCTTGATACTGGCGTGAATTTTTCAATTTAATTAATAATAATCATAAATAGGATTGGTACGTAAGTGTGAAATAAATAGAAGTGTAATAGGTAATAGTTTAGCCATGCCCCTAACAATGAAAATTATATTATATTATTTAATAAGTAGTAGTATTGTAGCAGTTTCACGAAATACTAACTTTTATTTAATATGACTTCAATGTCGATACAAATATCGATATCTTGGGTCACGCCCTATGACAATCCGCCATCGAAGAATTTGCATTTGAAGTTTAGGCATATACGCTTTTTTCGTAGGTATGGCCGGTCCTCTTCTTTTATGTCTATGGGATATAGTTTTTTTCGCGGGAAACTTTCGAAATAGTAGGGCGCTTCTTTCGAAATCTTTAAATATTTTTTGTAAATTCTTCAATAAATAGTGTAAATTTTTAGTAGATTTTTAAGTATAAATATTATTTATAAGCAGTCGTTGTATATTTATAGTTAGACATTAAATTGAAATGACAAAAAAGCGGAAAAAACCAAAGAAAGATGAAGGAGAGAGCTGCTCGGGTGAGATCTTTCCAGATAATATTTCAGAGAGTAGCAACTCTAGTTATTCCGACACATTCAGTGCAAATATTGCAAATGATGAAAAGGAAAAATATGTTCCATATAGGGTTTCTGATTACAGTAGAAGGTATCCTGAAGATGCTGCGACTGGTTTCGAATTTGTAGTCTTTATTGAAAGTTCTATTGAACAGCCTCTCGGTAGCAGGGACATGATGTACCTGAGTGGTTGTCTATCTAGATTTGTAAAGGGCATAAAATACTTAAAAAAAATCAATCGTTTTAAAATTGGCGTAGTTTTTGATCGACCAAATTTAGCAAATGCATTTATGGATAATTCCACATTTTTGAGGGAACAGTCCATCAAAGCTTCAATTCCTGCAGGATGTACCGAATTATCTGGAGTTATTACATCCGTACCCATAGATATGTCCAATAAAAAAATTTATAAAGCATTGTCCAGCTCAAAGAAAATTATTTGTGTCAGACGTATAATGCGTAAAAATAAAACTAGCAGTAACAGTTTCGAATTACAACCCACTCAAACTGTTGTAATAACATTTGCGGCAACATGCCTACCAGATTATGTACATATTAAAATGTGGCGCCTTCCAGTAATTCCATACATCCCTCCAGTAAAGCAATGTTTTCGTTGTCTTAAATATGATCACCTAGCAAAATTCTGTAAAAATGCTCAAAGATGCTCTATTTGTACAGAGGGTCACTCTTTTAAGGAATGTACAGTTCCAGTAGATAAAGCAATATGTATACATTGTAAGGGTAACCATTTAGCGATATCAGGACAGTGCCCAATCAAATTAAAGAAAATTTATGAAAATAAAAACAAAACTGTAAATAAATACTCAGATGCATTAAAATCAAATAATTTTCCATCTTTAAATAAAACAGAAAATACTCATGACATAATGGAATTAGTTTTAAAAAATAGTTCTGCATTAAATCTCATCACTGAAGCAATTGTCAAAGTAATCACATTGAACAAAACAGAAAATGCTAGTATTAGTTCTCAATCAATAAGTAGTGCAATAAAAGAAACTCTATTAAATAAAAATAATTCCCCTCCACATTCCTGAATTGTGTTAATATTGTACAGTGGAATGCACAAAGTTTGCTAAATAATAAACTTGAGTTCCAAAAGTTTCTTTATGATAATAATATACACATAGCTCTAATATCGGAAACTTGGCTCAAACCCAATATAAAAATTGAAATACGCGGATATAACATAATCAGAAATGATTGTGGAAATGATCACAATGGCGTAGCCATCGTCATTAAAAATGGTATAAATTTTCAACAGCTACAAACTTTCTATGATGATACTTTGCAAAATATTTCAATCAAAATAAAAATAAAAAATAAATTTATTTCGATTATAAGTTTTTACAGTCCTGGTAGTGCTAATTTTTCAAAACACAAATTTGATTCTCTCTTGCATAGTGTTCCAAAGCCGTTGATTATAGCTGGTGACTTTAATGCTCATCATACTTTCTGGGGTTGTTCTAGTACTGATTCTCGAGGCAGAGACATCATGGATTCCTTGGATGAGAATGGTTTAGTACTCTTAAACAACGGGATGCCAACAACAGTAGGTTCTCACATCTGGAGGCCCAACGGCCTAGATCTCACTATGGTCTCTTCGTGCTTAGTTTTGTCTTGTGAGTGGTCAATACATAATGATTCCTTAGGCAGTTATCATCTGCCGACTATAACAAAATATTCTCTTGACATTAGTGATGGTGTGTCCTTTGTTGAGTCTTCGAACATTCCTCCACATATTAATCTGAAACTAGTAAATTGGAATTTATATAAAAAATACATAAATGATAACTTGATAAATTTCCAAATCAATAACTCAAACATATTGGAATCATATAATAATTTCTGTTCAATTATTAATAAAGTAGCTCAGGACTCAATAACTAGTATAAATAATAGTAAACATAATAAGGTGGGTCACTTGTCAGGGTTTAAAAAAAGAACACTTCCTTGGTGGAATGATAATTGTGCTAAAGTGGTTCAAAATTGCAAAAAGGCTTATATACTGTTTAAATCTAGTCCTTCTTTATGTAACTATATTAACTTCAAAAAGGCGCAAGCCCTAAAAAAACGCACTTTACGTCAGGAGCGCTGTCAGTCTTGGCTTGAATTTTGTACCTCTGTTAATAGATTAACACCGATGAGTCAAGTGTGGACTCAAATGAGAAAATTAAAAGGTTCTACCTCTAATACCACATTGTTTTCCAATTATGAATGGAGTTCTGATTTTTTATACAAATATACACCAGATACTGTCCAAAATGATAGCAATCTTCTGCCAGACACTCAAGTTAATAATACTAACTCTTACATGATAGAACCATTTTCACTTCAAGAATTAAAATCTGCTTTAAATTCTAGGAAGGAAACTGCTTGTGGATTAGATTGGTTGTCATATAAAATGTTCAAACTGTTGAATGATACCAGTCTCGAAATTTTTTTAAATATTTTAAACTTGTTTTGGTCTCTGTCTATTATACCAGAAGAATGGAAGACAGATTGTTTGGTTCCAATATTAAAAAAAGGGAAGGATTCTAATTCTGCTCACTCATATCGCCCTGTCACACTCAGCTCTTGTGTAGGTAAAATTTTTGAGCAGTTAATAAAACAAAGACTGACATTCCATATAGAAAACAATTATATCTTACCATCTAACCAATTTGGCTTCCGATGTGGCCGTTCTGCTCGGGAGAGTCTAAGCCATTTGTGTCTGGACATCCATGATACTCTGTCTCAGAATAAAATTATGGCATGTGTCTTCTTCGATATTGTAGGGGCTTTTAATAATGTTGATTTAGGTGTTTTATATTCAGTTTTGTTATCATTAAATATACCTGCAAAAATAGTAAATTGGATTTACAAATTTTTAAATGGCCGTAAGATATTTGTGAAAATCAATAAACAGTTAATTGGTCCAAGATATTCCTATAAAGGAGTGTCTCAAGGTGGGATATTAAGTCCCTTGTTGTTTATTTTATACATCCATCAATTAAATATTGTTTTAGGTAATAATGTTTCTAACCTACAATTCGCTGATGACTTGGTAGTCTATTGTTCAGGTTTGAATAAGCTGGATATCCAAAATAAACTTAATACTGCCCTAAAAAGCCTACAAAAATATTTTCAAAATCTCAATCTAGATGTGAACAATGAAAAAAGTAAGGTAGTCATATTTTCAAAAAAAGCTGTAAAACCTAATTCAATTAAAATATACTATAACAATGAAACAATGCCTATAGATAATACAGTTAAATTCTTAGGTGTTACATTTTGTAGCAATTTTAAATGGAACAGGTATGTTGATTATTTAGCAAACAGAGCTCTCAAAGCTTGCAATATTTTAAAATCTTTAGCTGGAGTATATTGGGGTGCTGATCCAGCTACACTGTTAGTTCTGTACAAGTCTTTGGTTAGGAGTCATTTTGAATATGGTTTTCTATGTTATAAACAGGCAACTAATTTGGTAGAGAAATTAGAAAAAACTCAAAATAAATGTTTAAGGATCATTACAGGTGCCATGAGATCAACACCAATCATCTCTTTACAGGTAGAATGCAACATACCTCCTTTATCACTAAGGTTCAAATATCTTCAAGCAAAATTCTTTCTCAGTATTTTTTCAATCAGTGATCACCCTCTTGTTTCTAAGCTAAGACATGCTGCCAGCAAAGCTGATGTCGGTTCAACCTCATTAATCCAGGGTTTTACTGAAAATGTACAGTTTTTTCATGATAATAATTTGTTTTCTAGTATTATTTGGCCTTGCTATTTAGGAAATTACAATTCAAAATTTTGTAAAGTTAGTATAGTTATAAATGAACAAAAATGTAAACAAGATGTATATAGACAGTTAGATAAGTGGAGGGATTACAATCATTTATACACAGATGGCTCTAAAAACAATAATGCTGTATCCTTTTCTGTGTATAATAAACAAACTCGAAGTGGGTTTGGACATAGGTTAAATGATATGGCTAGCATTTACACAGCAGAATCTCTTGCTATTTTATTTGCTCTGGAATATATTGCAAGTCAGCAGGGAAAGAAATGGTTAATAATTACAGACTGCATGAGTATATTAAAATCACTTCAAAACCCTAAGTGTATTTCAAAAACTAGTTACATAACTCACAACATTCGTAAGCAATATTCTTCTTTGTCTCATTCTAAAGAAATCACTTTTTTCTGGACTCCGTCTCACATAGGTGTGTTTGGAAATGAACAAGCAGATTACCTGGCTAAATCAATTGTTGATCATTATGAAAGTGTCCCAATTTTAAATTTTCCAATTCCTGCTTCTGATGCTTTATCTCATGTTAAATCCTCAGCTGTCAAGGAATTTTATGACGAATGGCAACAAATTGTTCAAAACAAAGGAAAGTGGTTGGCAGAGATTAAAACCAAGATTTCTCCTCCATGGTTCTATGGAGGAATCTTTCGAAACAGAAAATTCTACACCACTATTTGCCGATTACGCTTAGGTCATTGTCGTTTTGGTGCCCACTTGTTTCGCCTTGGAGTCTTATCTTCATCAACATGTGAATTTTGCAACCTTGCTGAACAAACTCTTGATCATTTAATTTTCAGTTGTCGTTCTTTTAGTCTCCAACGTATAATTCTTATAGACAGTCTTCTGTGTATATATAAAAAAGCTGATGACATCCCGCGTTCGCTTCAGCAACTTCTGAAGAAAAAGGAGTGCTTTGTATATATTTACGAATATGTAACCTCAACCATTGGGGAAATCTAACGTTGTTTTTTCTATGTCAATTTAATTTTGTTTATTTTCAATTTCCTTCGCTTGTATATTTCGCTTGTTAATTTGTAAATAAGATGTAATCACATAAAACTTAAAAAGACTTGGCTTCGGCCTTTTGACTTAGACTGAGAATACAAATTTCTATTAAAAAAGACTTGGCTGTGGCCGTTGAATAAGAATATTAATGAATATAATTACAAATGACAAGGCTGTATGGGCTAAGCACCCTTTGCCTTCCCCTTCCCCTGTAGGAATGGGAAAATTTGAACCAAAAAAAAAAAAAAAAATGTCTATGGGATATAACTGTCATTACAAGTTGGTTTGTTTACGTTTTTTGGGATACCGTTGTCAACCAAACTGTCGGTGAAAAGAGCATGTAAACGTTGAAAAAATGAAAATACTATAAAATATTAAACTATATACTGTTGCTTAGTACGTGATTATTTAATCTCTAAAATGAGGACTGTGCCAAAATGGGTGAATAAAATACATGAAGCTGATAAAGTGGAGTTTTCTAGGTACGCTTATCATAATATTAAAATAAAATAAACGTTAAACAACAGTATAACTTCATTTATGTCGTTATTTTAGTGTCCACACCATATGCTTCAGCCCTGATGGTACTCAACTAGTAGTTGGTGCAGGAGAGAAAGTTATGGTGTATGATCCCCGTGATGGAGCTCTTGTACAACTTCTCCAAGCACACAAGGGAGCAGTGCATGCAGTCGCTTACTGTAGTGATGGAAAGAAATTTGCAAGTGGAAGTGCTGATCGAAATGTTATCATTTGGACATCAAAAATGGAAGGTGTATTGAAATATTCGTAAGTATACTACTTTTTTATTATTAGCTCGGTGGCGTAGTGGATAAGCGCCGCGGCCCGCGATCGTTGTCGTTAAGCAACTTTCGCAAGGGTCGGTCACGGGATGGGTAACCAAAAAATTATTATCTCGAGCTACTCCGTGCTTCGAAAGGCACGTTAAGCCGTTGGTCCCGACTGCATTTGCAGTCGTTAATACCCTCCAATCCGCATTGGGCCAGCGTGGAGGGTCATGGCCCATCCTCCTTAACCATCCATAAGGAAGGCCTGAGCCCCTGCAGTGGGGACGTAAAAGGGCTGGTGATGTGATTTGATACTACTTCTATCAAATAAATTATATAAAAACTTAAACTCTGTAGATCTGAAATAAGTATGAGAATATGGAGAGGTGTTTCAAAATGTGTTATGCACTATGCAGAGGGTGTGTAGGGTTTTCCTTGCTGACAGATCTACTAAGTGGAAAAACCACTGAGCAGATCAAAAGTAACCTACCAAAAAAAACCTTGTGCATGATGTGTCATATGTTTTCATTTCACCTTTATTATTAGAGTAACTTATATAAGTAAATAAATAAGTTTTTATTTTTATGGCCATGTTAAATACAAATTTAAGTAATCTGTGTATTGTAACAAAATATTCTTGCTAAAGCGATTTTCTTCTGTCTACAATATAAAAACAAAATTTGCAGGCATGGCGAAGCTATTCAATGCTTAGCGTACAACCCAGTAACAATGCATTTGGCATCGTGTGCAATATCTGACTTTGCCTTTTGGTCTGCTGATGTGAAGGCAGTGCAGAAATATAGAGTTTCAGGGCGCATCACCAGTTGTGCTTGGTCATCGAACGGGCAGCACCTAGCCATAGGCCTGGCTTCTGGTGGAGTCACTATAAGGGATAAGGTATGATATATATATTTTTTCAATGAAATATTATTTATAATTTTTAATTAGATCTTTAATTTACACAGGGTGGTGATGAGATTCAAAGAATAACAAGAGATGCAGCAGTATGGGCTGTGACATTCTCAAAGTCAATTCTTTTGGTATCAGATTGGAATGAAATGTTGTCTTTCTACAATATTCAAGGACAGCAAATGTATAAAGAAAGAAATATAGGTAAACTCTTTGGTGATATACATAATAATAATGATTATGATGCAGAGCAAGTTGAGCTTCTGCTTCTCTTTGTAGTTTAAGCAAGAACTCATGGACCATATTAACTAGTTCCTAGAAAAAAAAAATCCATATTTAGTCTAGCATACTATAGTCTGTTCTAAGGGCAGGCAAGAATATACAATAATCCAAAGTACATATTATGTATGAGTACTGCTTATTGTGAACAATCTAACCCCTATTTTATTATTTGTTATTGTTTTTCATATCCTAATAAGCTAGCATATGAAAAACTATAACTTTGGTGCCATTCTTTTGCTGAATTTGTTACATAATAATATTACTTTAATGCACACATTAAAACATTTACATAGAAACCTATATGATTAGGAACTTCAATGCAATAAGCGGCCTTATTGCTAATTTAACATCTCTGCCAGCTTTCCTTGGCTAGAAAAACTATAATAATTGAGTAAAGAAACTGCATTTAAGATAAAAGTAAATACATAGTAACCTAAAAAATAAAACGGGATTGAGTAAAAGAAAGTACTACTATTTCAGAAAGACTAGTGCAGCTTAGTCAAATGTTCCTTGATTAGATTAACAAAATAGTACTGTGTTTGTGCACGTCTGATATTATTCTGTTTTATTATTACAGGCATAGCAGGATTGTCAATATCTCTTCTTGGGGCACTGGTGCTTGTGGGTGGTGTTGGTGGTTGGGCAGTACTAACTGCAGAGGGAGTGCCTATAATTAACACTCAGCAAGAGTGGGTGTGGGCCATTGCACCTTCACCTTCATTGAATACTTTGGTACTTATTAGAATTCTTTAAATTTTACACCATAATTAGAAAAAATATCATATAAATGAAATGAGTTTGATGTAGAAACACGATTTATACAAAAACAAATAAGTAATTTATGATTAAAATCAATACTTTATTAGCTTTACTTGATTTATCGGTATCACACTGATAAATCATTCAGATGGTTGTTAAATCAGCTATGCATAAGTTATTATGCATGAGATATATTCTAATTAATATCATATATATTTAAGCTGGATTCCACCCAGATAAGATACCGTAGACAGAGTATCATGTAAATTCATGTATCAAAACAGTTCTTTACGCACCTTTTTCGCCTCCCAACTATCATTATATGTTTGATATGTATTTTTAATATTTATGAATTCTTCGTAGGCAGTGGCTTGTCAAGATGGTACCCTCTGGTGTTACCAAGTGGTGTTTAGTACAGTGCACGGTCTGTATCGTGAGAGGTATGCCTACAGGGAGAATATGACTGATGTCATAATTCAACATCTTACTACAGGAAACAAAGTTAGAATAAAATGCCACGACAGAGTGCAGAAGATTGCTATATACAAACATAGACTTGCGGTAACTAAGAATCATATTAAGTTTCTGTGAAATGTAATTACAGCATTACATAATGTTTGAATTTATTTACAGGTCCAATTACCAGAACGTGTTGTGGTTTATGAACAAGGCGACGTAGAAGGAATGTTGTATAGAGTCAAAGAAAAATTGTCACAAAAAACAGAATGTTCTTTGCTGGTCGCTACAAGTGATGCATTGTTACTTTGTCAAGTCAGTAATGTAATTTCATTTTTTTATTAAGTACATACATTACCTTTTTGAAATACTTGTATTGACTTTTAAGTTGCTAATATGCATTGTGATAGCTGTTAATATTTGTCAGGATACTAAACTAGTGATGATCGGGAGACGTATACCAAAATCATGGACAGTGCCAACTCCAATACGTTATGTGAAAGTTACCACATTATACTTTGAAGAGGTTCTCTTATTGGGACTTTTAAATGGACAGGTAAAAAAAGTCCTCATTTCTTTCCCTCAATAAAATTATTTGTATCAAATTACAATGTAATTCAAATTCAGATATGGCAAGTAGAACCTAGCGAAGGAGAGTCAAAGATGATACTACAGACTCCTGCTAGTGTTCGCTGCTTGGATGTAAGCGCGTTAAGAAGCCGTTTAGCTGTCGTTGACGAGTCATCAGTATGCCGCGTCTACAGTCTGCCTACTGGTGATCTACTTTATACGGTAATCCTATAAATATATTATTAATGCGAAAGTTTGTAAGGATGTACGGATATATGTATGTTTGTTACTTTTTCATGCAAAAACTACTGAATGGATTGTGATGAAATTTGGTATATGCTACTTTTTATACCATTAACCAGATTAAATTTGAATCCTGTCAAACTGCAATTTCAATTATGTAAATAAAATGTAAATAACGTATATGATAAAAGTTAAAGTAATAAAAGTTTTATCACACTAGTATACAATATTTCTTTGATTACATATAGTCTAAGAGGTTGTGAAAAAAATGTGAATGAACATTTTAAAGTTTGATATTTTACATACTTCAACAAGTACTAATAGTATACTGGGTACCCAGTGCGGACGTCACATTTATGTCACGAGCTTTCCACATAATATGATTAAAAAATAATGTTAAAACAAAAATAAAAAACAATTAGTTTAATTAGAGTGGTATTAATATTTTCAATTTAAAACAATACTATCCCTTGCAGGAAGAGAATGTGTCCTCTGTATCTTTCAACTCGTGGTGCGATGAACTTCTTGCCCTATCAGGCGGTGGGTTACTATCAATCAAGGCCGGACAATTTCCACCTGCGACGCAACCTTTGACAGGTTCAGTTGTTGGGTTTCAAGTGAGTATTTTTTCGTGGGTATCTATTTCGTGACAATACATTTTAATCTTAATTATCAGCTCTTTTATGTCCCCAATGCAGGGCTCAGGCCTTCTTTATGGATGGTTAAGGAGTATCGGCCTTGGCCCTTCATGCTGGTCCAATAAAATGTATTAATTAACGATTGCAAATGCATTCTTACATTTTATGTTTTTTAAATAGTTTTTTTATTTTATATATTGAGTTAGAGTAGTTTCGGTAGTGAAAAATAAATCACAAAATTGCCAAACATAGATATTTTGAATAGCATGATTATATTTATGACTGTTGATAGTCGAATTTTTTTGTATGCTTGTGTTTTTGTTTTGTGTCACGTGACTTGAAACAGGACCCGACATTGTGTGACGTCACTCTGGCGACAGACAAAAAACGCATCAAATTCCAAAATTTGTGTTATGGCCCTGTATTCTTATCATGAGATATTATCATGAGACATTAATAGGCTAATTACATTGCTGTTAAATACACCAATCTTATAAATCACATCATATTATTGGACAAAATTTTTTGAACTTCTGATGGAGAATGCACTTTGACTCGTTAATCAAGTATTTTTAAAATATCATGTTAAGTAAGAATTAAATTTTATAGTCTTTGCATGATAACTGATTTTGTGTTATTTTCAGGGTGGTAGAGTATTTTGTTTGCAAGCTAACTCTATGCAGACTATAAACGTGCCCTTATCACACGCTGTCCACCAATATATACAACACAAACTTTTTAAGTAAGTATTTAAACAATATGTCTACATTATCTATAACGTTTATGGTAGTTTTAACCAAACAATTTATTTTTTGTCTGATTGCTATCCAATCTTCTATTAAATTTGGCACGACGTTGAGTATATCGTCAACCGTAATATGAATTAATGTAACCGCCAAAATGGCGATATTGAGTTATATATACAGTTCGACTGCAAATTTTCCGCTCTATCGATTGGTGTATTTAAAATCTCGATATCTTGAAAAAAAATGTCGAGTACCTTAATAAAATTTTAAGTAGATTTTTTCATTTATATTAACTTTTGTGACGTATGATGCAATTTATAAAAATAGATAAACTGTAATTTACTGTAAGGGCAGAATAAGAAAATATTTTTAACGTAACTACTCAATGAATGACAATATCAACAATGTAAAGGTCCTGTGTAAAAAACTGAATTTTAGAATGAAAGTTATTAGAATTGCTACTTTTAAAAATCGGATTTAAATAATGAGATAAAATACACTATGAAAGAAGACGCAGAAACTTTCCGATTTCCCATGGGTCAAGGAACTAAAATTTCGTCAGGTAAGGGAAAGGGCAAAGGAAAACGAACAACAGCAAAGAAACTGGAGCCTAATGAAAGGAGTTTGGTCGATAATAAAACTCATAATGATTTACAGAAACTGTACCGGGCACGATTACCAATTTCTACGAAAAATACATGGATCTAAAAAAATTGTGCGATGACGAAGTTATACCTAAACAGTATATTCAAGATTATTTACAGTTACCCTACACTATGAAAAATGATTTCTTAGATGACATAGGTACTTAATAAGAGGAGGAAGAGAACGTGACTAGTGATGAAGAAACTAAGGAACATAGTATAAAAACTGAAAAACGAAATAAGATAAATAAAAAAAAAGAGATAAGCTAGATACAAGAGTTTCGTGCTCAAAAATACAATGTCGTAATTTAAGAAATTCAGATTTACAACCCACAGCAATTGAAAAAAAGGAGCAACAGGAAGAAAAGGCACTAAAGGTGAAAAAGACTGCAAAGGAGAAAAAGGAAGAAAAAGCAGTAAAAATAACATTACGAAAGAGAACGGGAAACGTTAAACAAATACAAAAGAAAAAAAGTGGTGAAGCAAAATAGAGAAAAATAATTAATCATTTCAAAGATAAAGTAGGTACTTATTTTGTTGATGAAAACAATTATGTTGGATTATTTTATTTTCTTGTTATTGTCATGAATAATTATGTTTCAATACGTGTTAATTGAAAAGTTTTCTCTTTATATCATTACTAAAACTTTGTCTACTTGTACACGATTTTTCAATTAAGATTTAGAATAATTCTATTGCCGTCAGTTTATTTCCAATTTATGAAAAAAATGATTTGTTTTTATTTGGCCTAAACTGTGCTTCTTTAGATTAAAGTTTTAGTTTATGGACATCTAAAACTAAACTTTCTACTAATCTAATGCTATTTCGATATTTTTTTTAGATTTCCTAAATTGGTTTAGTTTGTTAACTTTTTTAAAATCGTTTATTAATTATTATGAAAGTAGTAGTTATTCATGAACCCCTTACTAATAAACCCTATTTAACTTAAACAGTATTTAAAAGTGATGCTGTCCTGTTAAAGCAATATTGACATAAAAGTCACAGCATCACTTTAAATAATATCTAAGTTAAGCTAAAGCTAAACAAGGTTTATAAGTAAGGGGGTTAATTCGTAGCTGAAATGATTGTTCTTTCAGTAGATTTTTTTTAATTTATAGCTATTGTAAGTACTTTGGTACTATTTGAATAAGGAAAATGAAACAAATAGGTGCTTAATAATTATTGCATTCGGAGACTGATTTGTTTTGTAACTTTGATCTCAAAAATAATTACGATGTTATTAATTGAAAGCAATAAAACTGTTTTTCTAATGTGGCTTTTTCATACTGAAACCCTTTTTCACAAACTAGCAGTAAATGTAAAGATTATTCTATTTTAGACCTTAACATAAGAGAATAGGAATGAAAATTCATGAATCATCCTACTATAACGTATATCCATACACTAAAAATAGAGTGATATACGTTAACGATTTTTATATTTTTAGTACTATACGTTAAATTTGGAGAAATGCAATGTGAGTTACTTTAAAGCTGTTTATATTTTTTTCTACAAAAATCAAGGTAACTCGATATTTTTTCGAAAAAAGTGACGTAACCACCATGTCATCTTGGAAACTATAAAACTAGGCTTCATATGGTTTATTTATATTAATAGATCTAAACATTTTACAGAAACAGTTAAAACAGTATTTAAATCGGATTAGTACATAAAAAGTTATAACTGTTTTTGTAATTTCAATTTTGTTTTTTGGCTCTCCTGTAAAGTAGCCATTTGGCGGTTACATTAATTCATATTACGGTTGACGATATCATTAGTGGATAATCAAGATTGCTTCTATAGATATTTTATTTTTTGAAAAAAGTTATAAAGGAATATATGTTGTTACACATGTTTTAGTGATTTTTCCCTGGCTTATTTTCATTGGTCGGTCATTCGTTGTATGCTGGTCCCGTTGGCCGATATAAATTAGTTATAATTCGTCACAATAACATGTAAAGCATAGTATTTTACCACAGTGAAGCGTATGCTGTGGCATGTTTAGGAGTCACACCGCTAGATTGGGAGCGATTGGGCATAGCAGCTCTCGAGGAACTATCTTTCGAAGTTGCCAGAAAAGCATTTCAACGCAGTGAGAACATCATCTATCTCACTCTTATTGATCACTTACAGGTAAATAAATAATAGTGATGCCTAAAGCTGTAAAAGGACTGTTCATATTGCCCTATCCGTTGATTACGTAAGGTTATTTTGTTCTCATCTCTCTCAAGTAAAAATTATCTGATTATTTTTTGTATATTATAATTTGTTATAAGATAAATGATTTAAGAATTACGATTCTTACTCTTTTGTAAGAATATAATGCGTTATTATATTTTATCAATGAAAATGTCCATATACTTAAAATTCACGTGATTTAGGATAACGTTACAGGTGCTTACCTGTAACGAGAGTATTATCTTTCAAATCATTGAACAATAATTTGTTTAACAATATCATATTGTTTTTATGGTACACATGTATAATTTTCCTAATTTATAAGTCTCGTTTATTTTTTTCTTTTAAATTTTACATTTGCGTGTATGTTATACATAGTTGGTTAATTTGTAAAAGCCATCATTATAAAAACAATAAAGAAAACATAAAATAGTTTTTATAGAAACAGCCATTACACCTAGTTTGACAGATGGCTTAATATTGTCACCAGTATATATTAAAAACGAATACATGCAAGTATAATATCATAACGATTTTTACGATCTGTCGATATCCAATCTAGTTGGTAGCGAAATAAACACTAAATTCTGAAAATATTATTGGTACAAGAAAACCAAATATAACTTAATCTGTCTAATACTATACAAGTAATGCTATTCGAGTTGAAATGAGTCCGTATATAATCAACTTAATTGTTGAAAAACCCTACAAGGAATAAGTAAGTAATTTGATGATATAATATTTGCAGCGAATTAAACATTGTCAGTTGATTGGCCCATTGTCATATCTTTGTCATATTAATGTGCTATCAACTAAATGGTCATTATAAATTTTGGAAACGATTGTATCTATAGTTAACAAGTGCCTGAATCAAAGCATTCCATTATAGGTTACTGAGTCCTGCGTGCGTTTCTTTTGCGACTTATTGCAGTTTTGTGTTGTTATGTTTTTGGTATAAATTTAAGTGAATGTCAATATTATAAATATTTTTAAATAATGATGTTAACTTCTGTTGCTTCACGACAATTACAATTCTTCTAGCCCAAATTAAAGTTAGAATAGTTTTGGTTTTGTTTAGATAGTGGCATAAGATAAATGGCACCTTTTTAGGTAACTATAATGATTTCATTATCTGTGACGCACGAAAGTGGGAAGAGGGGGGAGGGGAGTCGTGGTGTACGTGGTGTAATAATATAACACGTGCATTTGTTTTTTCCTCGACGCGCAATCAGTAAACTAAAAACGATATCAAAAATAGGATTCTTTGGTGGTAATAAAAAATACACGTGATTTAGGTGGAGGAGGAGGGGGGGAAAGTCTTAAACCTCACCATGTATCACCAAGGGGAGGGGGGGAAATCTTAACTGTTAGGGAGGTCAAAAAATGTTGAAAAAAACATCACGTTATCCCCCCAAGCAATATCCTCTATTTCTATAATATTAATTTCACGTTAACATTTAAAAAACTAAACGAGATTGATTGTAAGTTTAGTATTTAATTACTTGCACACATTGCCACAATGGTAAAAGTGCTCAATAATTCCCTTAGCTATAAAGTGACCCATATATTTTATCCCATATAATTTTCCCTATGAGTCTGGATTACTTATATCTTCGTTATTCTGATACTCCATAATACGAGAGCTTTATCTTTCAATCTGTACTATGTATACGGTAGTTTTTAATACTTATTTAGTTATTTATATCTCCTTAGGAGCGATTCGAGGCGGGCGAGAAACGCGCCGTTATAGTGGGCGAAGTGTGGGCATACCGCGGTCGTTACGCGGACGCGGCGCGTTCCTTTCACAGCGTGGGCAGAGATGAGCGTGCGCTCAATCTGTACGTCGACTTGCGCATGTTCAACAAAGCACAGGTCAGATACTGCATATGTTAAAAGCTTTACTCGGTTTGAAAAAAAATTTTTATTTAAAATCCATATAGTACTAATTTCTGTTTCTTAAATCCGTAGTATTAGTGAACATATAAAATTAATAATTATTGCAGTTTTCAGGAAAAAAACAAAGAGGCATCTTAAGATTTCTGTTACGGTATAATTAAAGTTCTCATTTTCATTTCATGTCGCTGTTGTTCCAATGTTAATGTCAATGTGTCAATGCAATTAAACACAATCAGTATTGTCGTTAATCCTAAAAGCAACGACATGACGTATTGCATAATTGGTAAAGACTTAAATAAATATTTTTTTTAACGGTTTCATCGCGGTTGATTTTAGTTTTAGGTGTTTCGGACCCTTTACAGGTTATGGTTATAGTGTTTTTTGCTTGAAAATATAAGAAATTAATACGGGATAGGCTTTTTTTATAATTTCATAATCGGTCTGTGAAATGTGTTTCGTATTAGGAGTTTGTAGGAGAGGGCGACGGGCTAGCAGCTTTGGCTCGACGCAGAGCGGAGTGGGCGCGTCACGTGAATGAACCACGAGCCGCCGCTGAAATGTATCTTGCCGCGGGCGACGTGCAAAAAGCCGCCCAACTCATGGCTGAGAGCGGCAAAAGGGATATGTGAGTGATTGTCCGTCCTTTTTCCACAAAATATTGTATACTATCAACTATATATATACTATCGGGTAAGCACCCGACAGACGTTGTCCTGTCTTAATTATGAATATTGAACTCAAACAGTTTTTTACATCTTATTTGGCGATATTTGCAGCACTTATTCTCTCAATTCTATGTTAAACGTCATAAGGTTACATTAAAATAGTTGATATTATCCAAAGCACTAAAGTTAGATAGGAAATAATTTTATATGGTACATTTATTATAATATTTTGAAATTTTCGTATTCTACACCATTTTATTAGTGTTTTCTTTCATAAGAATCGTCGCCTGTCAATAACAAACACAACAAAAAAAAGTGAAATCGGTCCAGCCACAGTCAGGGCCAGTTCACGTGTGATGGCGTGATCAAGGGAAATAGGGATTGACATATAAGGCGGGCTCAATGGCGCGGTGGTAGCGTTCCTACTATTGCGCCGATAGTCGTGGGTTCGATCCCCACCCAGGACAAACATTTTTGTGATTAAGAATTATGTCTGTTCTGTGTCTGGGTGTTTGCTATTTATATTATGTGTTCGGGTAGAGGCGCGCGCGCCGACGGCCAGTTCGGACGTCATCGTCACTTCCTCGTCAGAATAAAATATTTTGTACAAATCGTGCGTGCCACTATACCAAAGACGAAATAGTAACTCATTAATGTTATAATCACTTCAATTATCTAAATAAACGAACTAAGAAAATATACATTTTATGGTGATATGTATATATTTGTATTCCCCCCGTTATTTCTGATATCCGTAACAAAAGCGTCTAAGCTACTTACCTCGGAATCGAATCAATGTGTGTGATGTTGTCCAATATTTATGTTTTTATTTATTATTATTTTATATAGATTTTTTAGATCTGATAAGTCGCTCCTTTGTTATATGTGGTAAGAAAAAAATGTTGCCTGATTTGAATAATTGTAGGATTATATTATTAAGTATTACTTTGATCCTGAATTTATAAAATGGCTAGTGCTATTCCATAAATTGGTTTCAAAGTTACTTACTTACTGCATAATAAATACCATCAAATTCATTTTCATGTAACATGTTGCCTGCCAAAAGGGATACCATATGTCTTGCACCATCAAAAGTTTTCGTATTTTGTGTAGCGCCAAGATTCATCAACCCCAACTCTACAAACCTTAACTTTATAAACTAGATATTAGAAAATATATGGCTTGGTCAAGTGCCTTGTTATTTTTTTTTTTGGATATGTCGTATCGGTGAGCACGCGTTATTAGTTTTTTTAATTTCGACAGTATCTTTGCTTTTTTTCGTTTAGGTTAATAGAACTTGCTCGCAAGTTAGACAAAGGATCGAGTGAGTCACTGCGTCACGTTGCTGAAGCATTGGTAACTGCTGGTGAAATGGCCACTGCTGCTGATGTCTATTGCCGTCTGGGAGATTATAGGTAAATTCACTATCGATAAGATATTTTATTTTATAAGAGTACTATAAATTATTTAGCAAATTTAAAGTAGGTACCTAAATTAAAACTAAATCATTGCGTGTTATGAATAGTGATGGGCCGCGTTATTTATCATGAGATATAAAATATTAAGACTGTATAAGCTTTGAATTGCTTGGTTGAAAATTTGTCAAAGCAGTGTATTTGCAATAGAGCTTTCATACTTCGAGATAAGACTTACGAAATGGGCAATGGTATCATAAAGTGTAAGTACTTCAATAGGATAGTTTTAGAGGTGAGAAAAAAATTATCTAAATCGACAAAAAAGGCAAAATTTCGGATGTCGCTTTTTGAAGTGGAAACGGACACCTGAGTGAATCCTAATTCGGGTCTGGATTTTATGGAATTGCAGGACATGTGTGAGGTCATGTTGTCAAAAACACTTTATGTGTCAAATCAGTCGCAAACAACCTATATACTTATATTGCCACTGTTCTTCTCTATTGATATCTTTTAATCTATAAGAAATAAATTCCATGCCTCTGTTTTGTTTTATGACGTCGTAAATATGACGGATAGCGTTTGCACGGGTGTAAGTAGTTTAATTTAAAGTGTCAATGTACACAAAACGTGTTTAGTTATTTTTTCCAAAGTACTATTACCACTAACATATTGATATTTTTCTTTAATTTTTTTAACAGAAAAGTAGCCCAATTAGCTGTATCAAGTGGAGAATGGTCCCGTGCATTTTCGCTGGCGCGCGAACATGTGGAGTGCAAGCGAGACGTTTACCTGCCGTATGCCCACCACATGGCACAGCAAAATAAATTTATAGAAGCTCAAAAAGGTAAAAATTCCTTATATCTACTCATTAACGATAGTTTTATTTTCAAGAAGAAAAGTTTACTGGTCTTTCAACGCACGAAACGACACAAACTACTGTACTGATTAATCATAAGATTAAAAATCACGGTTTCATAAGTTTTAAAATGACAATATATTATATCATTGATTAGAATAGTTTCGATAATAAAAAAAACAAAAATTACATTTTAATAAATAGATTCAGATTTTGAGTCATAAAATGGCATGGTTATCTTTTTATTTGTTTATAAAATCCGAAATATTTGTTTTATGGCTTTTTTTAAATTAAAAGCACTTACAAGTACTATTTCAAATAGAGTTGAATACACTATAGACTGTGTTACAATTTGATTATTTTTATATCATTTAGTTTTTATATGACTATAATATTACGATATCTAGCAAATTCCATGATCAGTTAGGGGGCTGTTACACAATTTTTCGGTTCCCTCCTCATTCTTATCTAAACTATAAGACTTGTGAGATATGTGGTATGGAGGACCATCCCTTGTGAGTTCAGTTTTCTGGTTTTTGAATTGTATTTTGAAATGTGACGTCACTTAATTCCGACTACCCCAAATACAATACTAAAAATGGTTCAGTGTTTATGTTAGTTCGTTTGGTAGTTTTTAAATTCAGACAGAAAGTTATTTGCCTTTACAATATGCAAAGATTATTGAAAGCGTTCTATATAGATTTGGTTTCTCAGCTTACCACATGGCTGGTGAGATTGAAACGGCAGTCCACGTGTTCACCATATTGGTGGGAAACGCAGTCGCCGAGGAGAGATTCAGCGACGCCGGTTACCTTCATCATTTGTTGGCGATGCAATGCTTGGAAAGAGCAGATACGCATGATACGAAGTGAGTCGAACCTTTTATTTGCTACATTAATATTATATTCTTTTATGTGATGAAATTTCGTGCAGATCATCAAAGATGTTTTAAATTTTATGACACATTGATTGTGATACCTTTGCTCAAAAAATGCCTTAATTAAAATTTGGTACCAGTTAAATCACCTACAACGTAGTAATATGCAATAAATGGCTAACTAATCTTCTTATCTAACTTAGAATTGTGAATAAGTTCGAATAGACGTTAATAAACTGTAAACAGCAATACCACAGGTGAACTTGAGAAGGATGAAAACTCGTTAGAGATATGATTAAGCTTCTGTTTAGTCCAGAGTGTGGCCAATAGTTAACTTATTTTGTCAAAAGTATTTAATTTTTTTTTCATATGAACATATTAAACTATTATCATATTTATTTTTCTCCAAAAGGCGTTATTATAAACGAAAAACATATCTGTAACCATCAATTTCAGTTGTCCCTCGAAAAACAATCAGTCTAGTGACGTTACATTTCAATAAACATGAGTACTGTTTGCACTTGCAACAAAGACTTTGACGTTAAGTTTATTGTAATGTTACTTCACACGATACTCCGTCGCGGCTGCCCGCGTCCATGTCTGTTCTTATTATACACAAATTATAAATAGCAAGTTAATTTTGCAACAATAAAATGTACTTACAATTTATCAAAATAAAAATACTATATAGTTATTGTTAACATATAAGTTACCACTTGCAACATATTTCAAATTGTGAATTATAAGAAACACTTGTTTTTTGTTAACGCTATCATGTTATATTACCGTAGGGAACGGGAAGCAAGCATTCAATCGTATAGTCAGAACGAGCGATTAGCGCGCATCTACCACGCTTACGACTCAGTTCACCGATGCGTGCACGAGCCTTTTTCGCTGAGTCAACCCGATGCTTTACTAAACGCTGCGAGATATGTACTCGCTCTTGTCGAAGATAACGCGCCGCCGGGCATCTCTAAATTGTATCCTTTGATATAAATCTACTTTTATTTTGTATTCATGTGTACTTTTTGGTTCTATAAGACAACATTTAGAGTTGTGAAAATAATTAATTATACTATGTATACACAATGATTATACTAGGTATATACAATGACGAAACTGTCCCAAAAACAAAACGATTCTTAAAGAATTGTACCTCTATGTGTCAAAATATCTACAATAAAATACCATTACAATTTAAAGACCTCCCTATTAAGCAATTCAAAACAATGTTACGTCGATGGCTGTTGAACTATACCTTCTATACAGTGGAAGATTTTTTAAATCACAAGGGATAGCATAGTTGTGGTCGATACAGAGTTTAATTAAATGTTCTAATAGTTTATAATTAATGTTAAAGTTGACAATTCACAAAATTATTTCAAAAAATGTAATTAATTTAAATATGTTTAATATCGTAATTAATATTTATTATTATTTAAAATGGACATTATTTTGAAATCCTGTTGAACTGACATTTGCATGCTAGTGAAATAATATGGCTAAATAGGTCTAAGTACGTTATTGAAGACAACTATCTACTTCATTGTAATCTACCCTATTTATAGCAAATAAAGAATTATTATTATTATAAATTTCAACAATATCACATAATTATTTTATATAGTGTAAGTTGATAAACGTTGGAATCACTGTATAGCCCAAGTGAGATATAAAGTAATTTTACAATAATTGTAATGTTACTACATTTTTTTGAACTTTTTCCTTTTTGGATAGTTAGACCTTTGGAATACGTATATGATTGCATTAAAAAAACACCTTTAACTCAGTTAACATCATAGCTGTTTATATCTTTGCCTAGCTAAACAAGCTAAAGCACTGAACGCGCATTCATTAGCCCGTCAAATGTTGGACAAAATTCTGGGTCTTCAGATACCACAAAAATTTCAGGTAATTATTTTGTGTTAAAACAGTTTACAGATAGGCACATAATATATTTAAAAGTATCATGGCGTTTCTTCCTTACATTTTTTATACCGACGACATTCAAGGTCGAGGAGTTCGAGTAGTATAGATTCCTAGCCGGGCCAATATAGAAAAACCGGCCAAGTTTGAGTTCGACTCTCGCAGGAACAATCGTACAATTATTTTTTAAAAATTAAAAAAAAAAATCACTCTTCTTGTTTTCTATGGTTATTCGAAATTTTCGAGTTAAATACAATTTGTCAACTATTACTCGTAATCTAGTAAAGCCAACTTAAGTGTTAGTTTTCCTTTTAACTTCGTTATATATAGGTAATACTGCCTTAATATTTGAATTTTTATCAACGACCTTTTAGTTGGTAGATGGGGTCACGTGACTCTAACGAAAATTAACTAAATCTAAAAAATGCCTTTCACACCCCAATGTTTTTGAATGAACTATCCAACGATACGCCACAATATGGGGAAGACGAAAAAAATATCACCCTACATGTAGGGGAGGTACATTTTTTCAAAATCTTACTTTACCATTTTGTTGGCATCATTAACGTGCCAAATCACAGCTTTCTAGTACCAATACTTTTTGAACTAAACCGCGGACAGACGGACGGACATGGCGAATCTATAAGGGTTTCTTGTTTACTACGGAACCATAAAAATGAACTATAGTTGTTTCATATTTTTTTAAAAAAGAAGAGCTTTATCTGTGGTTCTGTCTACTTAACATCTAGGTTATGTATGTGATCTTGTCTAATAATTATTTCATTTTATTACTAGCTCTCCGTCAGCGGCTTCGCTCGCGTGATCCTGTATTATACATATAAACTCTGTATATTGATGAAAAATGCATTTTAATCCGTTTTTTTGTATAAAAGATCAGCGTAAAGATAGCGGGAACTCACTTTGATGGTATACATTAATATTAAAAGTAAATCAAATTTTCAATATTTGTTTTTTTTATGTGTTACGCATTATTCAATTTACGGAAATGGGGGTTGAATTGAATTTTACAAAATAATATTTAACTATTTTTAATTAGGAGAGTGTCGAGCTAATGATTCTTAAGACGCGTGCGAGTTGCGGCGATGCCCGCGACGAGGAGATATCTCCTCTTTGTTGGCGTTGCAGAAGACACACGCCGCCGCTGTGTGCCACGATATGTCCACATTGCAGACATGCTTTGGCACATTCACTAGCAACACACGGTATTATTATCATCATCACAATTATATATTAACAGCCCAATAATATACATATTAACAGCTTTTAAATGCTGAGATGTAGTAAATAAAATTTGAAGAAAGGGCCTGTAATCGACAGCAAGCATGTGGACTGTAGTTAATTAAAGTTTTTAGTTATATTTTTAAAGAATACGTAAAACACACAAGATACACAGAGACAGACAGCAAAGAATAATAAATGACAAACAGTCCATTAAATTTTTAAAGCTTTCATTAGTTTAAAGCGACATAAGCCATACAATTTTAACATTCATTAGAGCTTAAAGGCGTCATTAATACGTTAATGGACGTTTGTGCAACTGACCGGTAGTTATATGAAATTCAAATAAAACATACAAAAAACACTTATCTAAAGAGGTTGGTAAAGTTGTCGTTAACAGCGCCATTACCGATGTGTAATGACCATAATGACACGAGACCATTTGTAGGCATAACGACTAGATATACAGATAGATAGATAGATAATGTAAAGTTATTAAGGGCCCGGGGCCCCGTATCATTGATTACGACAGATACGGCGGTAGCTACGCCCCTGCTGTAGATGCACCCAGGAACGAGAGCTGATCATCCTTTCTGAAACGTTGAAGTATTGGAGATTATCGGTTTCTGGCGTTTGCTAACTACCTAACCTTCGCAGTAGGGCAAATCAAATATTTAATAACAGTTTTTGAGTCATTGTGAAATGATTTTTAGGTTTTAATCGAAAAGGAAACATAACAGCGAAATATAAAAGCGTGAATAAAAATTTACATTTGTAAGTGCATGATTTGATGCGTTTTGTTTTTACTACTTCGGTTACGATAATATAATGCTCTTTTAACACAAGGCAGCGACCGCCAAACCCTTTAGCTATGAATAGCTATAAGATCATTTTACTATTTTTATCATTGTTTATGTAAATTCTCAATGAAACTTAACATAATTCATAAAACAACAACAATCAAAACTATGAATTAAATATTTAAAAATGTTATTGTTTTGTTATTAATAAAATAAAAAACAATAACATTCTATTTATTTTATTATGTTATGTATTCCATGAACTTGGATTATAATTAAAAATATAATATTTCCCATTTTCCAGAGGTTCTCCCACTAGTACAATTCGAACCCGAGGAAGGTATAACGATAGAGGAAGCACTGCAATTAATCGACCGCACACCCATACCTGAGACTGAACCTATGGATAACACAGGTGGCGTTGAAGTACTAAGGATAGACCACGAAGTAGACGCTGTTGACCCTTTTCTGGACAAAGTCGATGAGGTTATTAATTTTTTAAATATGTCCATATGATTAAATTATCTGCATTTGATTCTTCAAATTGGATAACTTTAGATTCTGCATATAGAACAAATATAACAGTAATCGCTTACTCATATTTCAGTTTTACTATTAATTTATGTAAGATAATTATAGGAACGGAAACCTAAAAACAGTTTTATTTTAGTGACAAACACATATAGAAAACAAAAATAATTCCTAAACCGTCTCACAAACACTTTTAAAAACACACATGTGTTACTCGAACCTCCAGAATCCCATCAACAGTTCCTGACTTGATACATATTAACACTTACAATAAATGTATAGACAAAAGAACAATTTGCCAAAAAGCTTCAGACCTCTTTTCAGTAATCAAGGATACTGATTGACCTGTCACATATATTTTAAATATCGTTTATACCTACCATCAATGATAATTTAAATTAGACTAGCTTAAAATAGATTCATTACTAAACGTCTTTTCATCTGAAGGCCAGGGAAATACGTAATTTCTAATTTTTTTTGAGGCTATAGCAGCTGTTAAGACGCGGGATAACTGTGGAGCTTATTTAAAAATTATTGCTTTAAAATCAAAGGTTTTGATAGTTCGACTCGTAATTATTGAAATAAAATTAATTGATAATATAGCAAACCATCATTGTGGGGTCCAAATCGCATTTTGATAGTTAGAATAAAATAAACAGTTTACATATGTAATGTTACAAATAAGTATTTATATGTTAATATAAAATAATAATAATCATGGCGCTTACAGGTGCGGCTGAATGAGCCTAATCCCTTTGAAATTAAAAATAATCTCACCTTTGGAATTTACTTTATGCTTTGGTACTCAATATGCTAATTGTTGGTATTTGGTCATGTTATGCCATGTGCGCTTCTAATAAATGTATAATTCCTGCAAATTGCTAATGTACCTGGTCTCCGTTTTGACGACGTAATTGCGTTCAAAAATCAGTACCGTTAACAAATAAAACTGGTTGTCGAGTACACTTATTGACTTAGGTTGTGTTGAGATCACACATCATTTTTGTTATGTTTTTTAAGGTTTTGATTGTTATTGTTAAGTTTTATTATTACTTGTTATGGTTTACTAACATATAGCAACTGCTATTATTATTTTTACAATAAGCAAACACAATTTCACTTACAATAAATTTATTTAATGTCTCCCATTTCATTATTGCTTTTGGTTATGTTTCAAATATGAACTTTCCATTTGATATCGCGTTATTACAAAGTTAATAATATATTTTATCAATTTTATTTTTCATGTATTGGTAAAGAATCTTTTTTTATTTACATAAAAAATATTATTTACCAAAAATTAATGCAATAAATTAACAAACTCAAAGTTATTAAATTATTTAAACAATATTTTGGAGATTATTCATAAATATTTCAATAATTAATTAATTATTTATCTCTTACCTTTTGTTCTATCTATACTTTCTATTTTCATATGACGTTACGCGGGTGTTACTTAGACAAGGTTCCAGCACATTAGCAATTTACAGGACTGCCACATATAGTATCATTGAAAAACGCATACAATATTTTAAGAATGTTACGTGACATTTGTACACATATAAATAATACTAGAGTTGTTATAGAATATTTTAAAAATAATTTTACCAGCATCACAATTTTTATCATGGCTTCAGTTTGAGACTTATAACATATGAAATAAGTAACAAATAAACTGCAGTCTTTTAGAACCTGACGTGCTTTTGATTTTATATAAAAACAGGTACTTATGAATTGAGTAATAATATTATTGAGAAAAGGAATTCCATTGTTTTTATTTTAACAGGAAGAGGATGGTAGTGTGGTGGTGTGTAGTCGTCGCGCATTACTACACCTGAGCCCCAGCAGTGTAGTGATAGTGATGCGCGGTATACTGCCCCCTGTGATGTACAGGAATATGCTGCCCGAACTGCCCGCCGCAGCCTGCCCTTCCTGCCATCACGTAAGTACTGAATATGCTAATATCTATAAAAAAATCTAACAAGAAATAATAGAATCAAGTTTTTTTTTTTTCATTTATTTTGGAATCAAATGGTCGTGTAAAATAACAACAATTTCACAAACAGCTATGTAATTAAAAAGACCTACTGTGCCCAAATTTAGTACAAAAAAAGTATTTTCACGCTTAGACGTGAGCAGACAAGTTGTATTATTAACTAAAAATAAAAGGATTGGCTATCTCAATTTCTCATTGCAGTCGGGGGCCACAGTTCAACAGAACGAACATTTGTAACCTAAGAGATCCACTAACTGCAACGAGTTTGTTTAGCCAAGCAATAATACAAATTGTTTTTTTTCATTTTTAGTTCGAATTTGGCAGTCGTATTTTGAAACTATTTAATTAACATTTTTTTTTTATTCCTTATAGTGAGCTGTTAATTATGTATACAAATTATATAGCTTTAATTTCATAACCATATCGCTATAATTAAGGAAAGAATCTATTTTGCCTGCTAAATCCATACTTTATATAAATATCACCCGCTTATGATAATTTATGAATTTACATTTAAAGAATACCCCCTAGAAATAAAAACTGAGAAATTACTTCTTTATAAAATTAGGACAGATAGTGAAGATCGTTTACAAATTTTACCTGATGAATATCCTCTGTTCATGTATATATAGTTAGTTTTGTTAATTTCAGTTGTTTTACCTCGAGGACTACGAGATCCAATTGGTGACGAAAGGCCACTGTCCCTTTTGTCGATACTCGCCTGAGAAAGCTTCGGATGAAGAAGGAACAGAAGATTCTATAGTCAACGGATCAACTGCTTCGACGCCGGGTAGCCCAAGTAACGGTCACTCCTGGAACTGAAGAACTGTTTATGCATTTTATAATAATATATGGTATTATAAAATAAATAATAAGGTAATGTGATTACAAAAATAAATGCCCCACGTTATTTTTACGAAAAATAAATAATCTACCACCGAATGACGAATAGAACAAAAAATAGGCTTAAAAGAATGCTGTAAATAAATTTTAACCGCCACGAACTTTAGAGGACGTGTGCGCCCAAAATAACTAACTAATAGTTGAAACTGACAAAGCCATATCATATTTCTAAGGGTTCTATCATACACAAAACATAGTTAATATATAAACAGTTCTTGATAGAAAGAAATACGAAGTAACCCTTAAAAGTTGGCATTTTTTCCACATGTTGTAATTTAACCCTTTTTTTTTGTAGAAAAAAATTGGTATATGAGTAAGTCTGATAAATATATTTGTTGCAGATACAGTTTGCGGGTTATTCATTAAAAATGGGATTGTCGAGCGCAATGAGTTAGACAAGTAAAATATTTTGCCTTTACTTTACTATCTTTGATCTTAAATGCGCGTTTATACCTCTAAGTACAAAACAGTACATTTTGTTATTGTAAGTTTATATTTGTCTATGAATTAATGACGCTTAGAAAACAACACCGCATAAGTTAAGACTAGTTTTAGAAGAGAACAAGATGATTTTTTTTTTGAAATATACACAAGAACAAGAAGTAGAAACAAATTATCTTTTAAGAAATATTTTAAACAGGAAAGCCAATTTTCAACTTATACGGTATTGCGCTATTGTTGCATAAGCGACGTTGTTACAAATCATAAATGTGACATTTAAAACCCACCTTTATATAACGAATATTGTTGAAAAACACATTCTACCTAAGTAGTCAAAATAAAACGAGTATTATACATAGGTATATTGTAATTGGTACAATTGATAATAAAAATAATATTTTTACAAAATTTTTAAATATCAACCCTACGAGTATATTGCGATATTGCTAAGGTAAAACATTATATTTGGATTTTCAACAAAAGAACTTTATCCTTATACTTTAACGTATACTTATAGATTCATATATTCACTATTAGTTTTTTTTATTGGTCCCGACACCAGTGTATATTTAAAAGGAGGCGTAGCGATAACTAAAGTAACATAACCTTTAAATCAGAACTTGGAGATTTCAACTCTATGCATACATAGATTGATATTTGTTTCAGAGTACCATGACGTCATATCGACGCCGAAGTGGCTTTTTCATGGGAAATTTTGAAAATTTCCTTTTATTTTTGCGATTTTAACTACTTTTAAAACGATTGTCATTTTTTTTAATATCTTTCATTTTTACGTGTATAACTATAAAATAAAAATATGTAAAACAGTTGTCCACACCCCTGTTGTGAAACGTAGCGTCTCAGGATATCTCAGAAGTTTGTGTGATAATGTGTTTCAAAAAGATTTTCGTTATGATTGAAAGTTAATTTACTACTAAATTATTAGAAGTGGAACAATTATAGCAATTGCTAGAATTTTGTTGTTGTGCGCCGCCGCCACTAAGTGTTACAACTTTAGAAAGCTCTTTCACATTTTTGTCATGAACTCTCCGTCTTTAATGGCAGACTTGTTAAAATTTTTCAATAATTCATCTAAATATTCCACTTCAGTTACCGGAGTCCCGAGTATGAACCTATTCGAAGTTGAGCTGGTCTCACTTTTATGTTTATTAGGTATGATGGATTCTTTGGACAGAATTAGGGTTTTGTTCAAATACATGCAGTCTGCCACCCATATATATGCTCTTCTGCTAAAATGACAATCAATGACCGGCAAATTAAAATGAATCAATTAATGATCTATAAGCGGCTTTAATCGTAAATATTCACTTTTAAACTATCGCGCTACATTATTACATACTTATAATAACGGGTATTAGACGCCGACGTTTCGGCAGGGTGGCACCGGCCGTGGTCACGACGAGACTGGAGCAACAAGTCTAAGTCTCTGTAACGGCGGATGAATTTTCTTCCACCCTCAGATTTTTGATCCAACTACTATCACGAACAACACTAACGGTGTCCCTATTCTGCACATGCAGGCATCCGGCGCAGGTCAGTGTAAAAATCGCGTCTTATACTTGTTATTATAAGTATTTAATCATAAAGTTCTAAAATCGATTTTATAATGTTTTACCTTGTAAGTGTCGTTTGCTAAGACAAAATATATAACCTCTTTTTTCATAACTTATAATAACACGTGAAGTGCCTTTGCCAGTAAGCGAAAGAAATCCTTCTGTCATTTATCTGTCAGTAATTTGATATAAAACCTTCATATTATACTAATTTTAATTAAAGTTAGCCAATAAATCAATATTATTGTGATTCAAAGACAAAGAATCCGTCCAAGTTTTTAAATATAATATATATGTATTTATATAAAATATTTATACTATTAGAATATACTAAGTTATAAATAACTTTTTGTAAATAAAAATAGTGACACAAAATATTTCTATATTCAAAGTTAACGAAAAAGAAAACAATTTAATGCCTGAAGAGCCTCTACCGACTATTTTATTTACTTGACTTTTGAAATTATAATTCACATGTAGCTTTTGGCGGCAATTCTGTATCACATTATAGACTAAATTTAATTTTAGTCCTGGCAAACTGTTTTTTTTTCTATTTCGTAAATAACTGTGATAGCATAAGATATGTTTTAGTTATTATAGAATACAAAATTTCTTTGATATATGACTATGGAAATCTCAAATTCAAATGTAAAATTTTATTGTTTTTTATGTGCAACAGTGATAGGGTACGACATACTAGCCACAATTAACTAATTAGAATAAATCGATCATTTTAGCTAAAATGTTTCTTTTATAAATTGCTACCAATTTAAAAGTTCATATTTATCTGAGAAAACTTCAAGTTTATATTTGAAGTTTTAAATTTATACATGTGGTAATCAAAACTAAAATGGGTAGAATTTAAAACCAAAATTTGAATTCATGTACCATCACTATGTTTCCTTCATTTAATTTGTGTAATATCTTATTTTTGACGTAAACTTATGTTTCAAAATCATAGCTTTTAGAAGATTTGAGTAATAAGGTATTAAATATTTTATCAATTCTGCATTCACAATGCTTTAATGAAAAATATTCTTAATGAAAAATGCTTAAAAAATCCAAGAGTGCCAGGGACAGCATTCCGACATGGGTTTTTCACTAAGAATATTTTTATTTTAAATTGAGTGAAACTCAATACCTATTGCATGGAACCGGTATATTTCGTTTATTTAAACGTTTTGAAATAACAACATGGCGTTGTTGCAACTGTTATTTTCGGAAATTATATTAAGTTCATGTCAATATTTATTACATGTGTATATACAGTATGAAAATGTTCTGTTATAACGGTAGGTTCTTCTTCTCCCTGCCCCTCTCCCAGTTCATTTAGGGTCGGGTCTCCTTGTACATCGACGCCAGGAAATTCTATCCCGGGTTGACAAAGGTGAAATGTTCTGCGTTTTAAGATCCCTTTCAATATTTGACCACCATGTAGCAGGTGGTCTGCCTCTTCCTTTTGACTGTGTGTTAATGTAAAGCACTGTCCTCACAGAGTAGATATGACCATACCACCGGAGTCTACTTTCGTTAAGCTTTTCGGGTATTGGGGACACTTTAAAACACCCTCTGATATGGTCATTGCGAACCTTGTCTAATCGCGTTACACCACCCGCCTATCTCAACATCTTCATTTCTGCTGTATGCAGCTGTTGTTCGTGCTTCCTTAGGGCAGTCCAGCATTCCGCACCATACAACATAGCAGGCCTTACTACGGTTTTGTAGATCTTGCCTTTCATTTTTACTGGCATTCGTGTATCACCCAGTATATCTGATAAGGATCGCCACTTCATCCATGCTGTGTTAACTTAGTGGTTCACGTCTTCGTCCACACGCGCATCAGTAGTTAGTATTGACCCGAGGTATTTAAAGCGTTCTGCTTTGGGTACCAATGTGTCTTTGATTTGTTTCTACAGTTTAACTCTTCTGTTCCGCCAAAATCGCACTCCATGTACTCAATTTTAGCGCGACTGATTCGTAAGCCGTGCTCATTAAGTTTAGTGAACCACGTGTTAAAAATTCGTTATAACTCTGATGCTGTTTTTGCGACTAGTACATGTTGTACATGCACCATGGGATCTGTAACTATAAGTCGCTAGTGATGTAATCCATGCATAGATTGAAAAGTAAAGAGATCAACGCCGAACCTTGGTGGACACCAATTTTCACCTGGAATGACTCGGAAACAGCGACAGGAGTTTTAATTTACGTGCTTACATCTGCGTACATATCTTGTATCAAAGAGATATATGTTTCTGGTATTTTCTGAGTACGCATCGCTTGCCAAACTAGTTTTCTGGGGACCCTGTTAATTTTTCTCCATCAGGATCCGGATAGTTTGTATAGCATCCGTCGTTGATCGTCTCGCCATGAAAACGCAGTTAGACGGGCACCAATCACTTTCCCACAGCTTTAAGGTATGTGGTGTCACCCTTATTTTTGTATAAAGGGCACAACAAGATTGAGTGCCACGGAAGAGGCATTTCCGCTTGAAGGAGTATTTTGTTGAACAACTCAGTGAGTCAGGGCAATGGGTTATCTCGCAGGAGCTTCCATATATCAGCAGGTACATTATCAGGTCCAAGTGCTTTATGAAAGTCCATTTTCTGCAAAGCATTTTTGATCTTTAGAGGTTGGATTCAGGCTACTGGTCCTAGTGTAGATGGTAACTCCAGCAACTCTTCGCTCGGGAATTCTTCATTCAACTGATGTTCGTAATACATCTTCCATCTTCCGTTTATAACATCGTTTGATGTTAGAAGCTTACCATGCTCGTCTTTGATGTATTTATTAAACACTAGCTGACCCGACAGACTTCGTCCTGTCAAAAAGATTTGTAATGTGGCAGTTTTTAGCAAACTCAGTAGATTAGGTCACAGACAACTTTTTTTTTTTTTAAATTTGATATGACTCGAAGTCAAATCCTTTTAAGCCGTACGAATTGTTTTATTGATTTAAAATTTGGATATTAAAAATAATAAAACACTGTTGGTAACGCGATTTTTGTTTGACTGATGTAATGACGTGGAAACTGATGCATTTTATCTCGCGTGCCGAAACTAATACAAAAGAAACGCGAGTTTCGGAACGCGACATTAAACTCCTCCAACTATGTATTCTGTGCTCCAACGCACACACGCACATTGTTTTGATAGATATGATCTTTGACGTTAGGAACACACCTACATTGCTTAGACAACAGTGAGTGCTTGTAATTTAATATGAACTTTATACCATAGCAATAAAGCTCAAATTGACTACGTTTTAGTTACAAATCATTTGTATGGGAAAAAGAAAAGGGCTATTTTTAGGGTTTTTCCAGCAATAATTCTAATTTTTCTCGCCGTAAAAACCATCCTTGAACTTCAACGAACATTTAAAAAAAAGATTTGGCCAAATTGGTCGAGGCGTTGTTGAGTTATGCGCTTACCAACACATTTTGCGATTCATTTTTATATATATAGATAGTGATCATAGGTAACTAAACACTCTGCACAAAACACGATATACGAATTTGTTTCGTGTATTAGACAGTATCAGTTGACAAAAGCAAACTCAGTAGAATAAGTAACAGAAAATCCAAGAAAATAATACTTCCACACCGGCAAATTGACATCGACAGTTTATTTTTCTTAGTTTTTTTTTTAAACTAACTAAACATCGACAGTTTGTTGTTGTTTCAATTTTCAACTTTTTTTAAATTTGGTATGACTTGGAATCAAATCCTTCAGGCCGTACCAATTTTTTATGTGTGTAAAATAATAAATAATAAAACACTTTTGGTAACGCGGTTTGTGTTTGACTGATGTCATGACGTGAAAAATGATGCATTTTATGTCGCGTGCTGAAAGTAAAACAAAAGAAATAATATCGCAAAGCCGACCAAATTGAAAATCAGTACTAATGATTTACTTTAATTGAGTTTCGGAACGCGGCATTAAATCCTCCAACGATGTATTCTGTGCTCCAACGCACACACGCACACTGTATTGATATGATTGAATTTCAACTTTGTACAGCGGTAATAAAGTGCAAATTGACTCTTTGACGTTAGGAACACACCTACATTGCTTAGATAACAGTGAGTGCTTGTAATTTAATATGAACTTTATACAATAGTAATAGAGCTCAAATTGACTCAACGTTTTAGTTACAAATCATTTGTATGGGAAAAAGAAAAGGGCTATGTTTAGGGTTTTTCCAGCAATAATTCTAATTTTTCTCGCCGTAAAAACCATCCTTGAACTTCAACGAACATTTTAAAAAAAGATTTGGCCAAATTGGTCGAGGCGTTGTTGAGTTATGCGCTTACCAACACATTTTGCGATTCATTTTTATATATAAGATTATGTCACGAGTTGCGTTGTGACGCTGCTTAGCTATTTTAGTTATCGCATTTTCAGTCGGCGCATTATCTAGATGTTCATAGAAACGCTGTCTCGATGAAGCTCTTGCTTGTCCTATGGCTGATTTTGCAACCGCTTTCATGGACTTATAGATTTCAAGGTCTTCTCCAAGATCGGTTTTCTGCCAAGTCTTAAATGCTTCTCGTTTTGCCCTTATAATGTACTTTATGTCATCGTTCCACCATGTAGTGTCCTAACGCGTAGGGAGACTACACTTAAATACTCCCAAAATGCTCTTCGCGTAGCTTTGGGTGAAACTTTCGAAATCGGACCACATTTTATCGGCTAATTTATCTGTATTTACATCTTTCCGTAAGTATAATTTGATCCCTTCCAGTAATTGGGATCCATTACAGCTGTGAAGCTCTTTCCATTTTAGGCGCACGGTTCGGTCTATGTACACTTTGATTAGTTTCAGCAAATCCATTACTGCTATAAGTAGTCTGTGTTGTGTGGTTATAGCCTCTCCCGGTATCACTTTGCAGTCCTTGTAGTACTTCTTTTTCTTCTTAAACAACATGTTGGGTTACCATTATATATCTTTCCGTAATTAATTTTGAACTCCACCTTCAATGCATTAAGGTTTAAATAAGGTTCAGGAATTTCACAGATGAGTTTGAGGTTCTATTGACTATTTCGTAAATACAATACGCCAATATGCAGGCAGTAATAACGTTAATAATATGGTCCATTTTGGTTCGATAAAATGTAGATCTTAAATTATACTACCTTTTTGTAGATATAAATAGTTTAGAAAGTTTTTATAGTAAATAAGAAATCGATCTCTGTTTGTAATGTACTATGTATTTGTGTAGATAAGATTGTGACGTACTTGTGATAATTACCACCGTCCAATGTGAGTGAAAAAATAAATAAGTAACAAAATCTATTAGATTTTTATTATTTACACCCTATCAGTTAATTATACCTGTCGTTTAAAACAGATACTTTTTTAAAAAGATTTTTTTTATAGAGGGCGCGTTCACCAAACGTCACTTTCTTCCAAGAGGTTTTGCGAATAACGGCTTGACGACGGGCAAAAAAACTATAATTAAAAATGAGAATATTAAAGGGAATAAATACTCATCATCATCATCATTTCAGCCGAGAGACGCCCACTGCTGGGCATAGGCCTCCCCCAAAGATCTCCAAAACGATCGGTCCTGCGCTTCCCGCATCCAGCGGCTTCCCGCGACCTTCACCAGATCGTCGGTCCACCTTGTGGGGGGCCTGCCAACACTGCGTCTCCCGGTACGCGGTCGCCACTCCAGGACCTTACCGCCCCAACGGCCGTCAGTCCTGCGAGCGATGTGCCCTGCCCACTGCCACTTGAGGTTTGCAATTCTGTGGGCTATGTCGGTGACTTTAGTTCTTCTGCGGATCTCATCATTTCTAATTCGATCTCGCAAAGAAACCCCGAGCATAGCCCTTTCCATTGCCATCTGAGCGACCTTGAGCTTCCTTATGAGGCCCATCGTAAGCGGCCACGTCTCAGCACCGTAAGTCATCACTGGCAACACGCACGAATTAAAGACTTTTGTCTTGAGACACTGCGGTAGATGTTCCGAGAATACACTGCGTAGCTTCCCGAACGCTGCCCAGCCGAGTTGGATCCGTCGACTTACCTCTCTCTGGAAGTTGGACTTACCTAATCGGACTATTTGTCCCAGGTAAAGGTACTCGTCGACAGCTTCCAGTGTAGAGCCTCCAACATTCACTGGAGTGGGTACGACATGGGAGTTTGACATTATTTTTGTCTTCTCCATGTTCATTTTAAGACCCACTTGCTGGGAAACTCTACAGAGGTCTTCGAGCATTGTGCCTAGATCTTCCATGGTCTCAGCCATGACTACGATATCATCAGCGAAACGAAGGTGCGTCATGTACTCGCCGTTTATATTGATGCCAAGTCCTCTCCAGTCCAAAAGCTTAAACACGTCCTCCAGTGCGGCAGTGAACAGTTTCGGCGATATAACGTCGCCCTGTCTCACTCCACGCTGAAGTCGTATTGCTTTCGAGTTTTGGTCCTGGAGCCGAACTGACATGGTGGCATTTTCGTACAGTGACTGCAGCACTTGGATGTATCGATAGTCTATTTGGCACCTCTGGAGTGACCTAAGCACGGCCCTGGGGCTCTATTTTTGAATCATTCGTCTCGCGTCGAGCGCTCGTTTTCTACTATCACTCGCATACAACGTTCGCTAAGCGACGAGTGGTTCATACCATTCGTTGCAGTCGAGCCATTTAGAAATGGCGAATTTGTTAAGTCGAACGAAAATCAGTAGAAAACGAGCGCTCGACGCGAGACGAATGATTCAAAAATAGAGCCCCAGGTCTCGACGGAGTCGAAGGCTTTCTCATAGTCCACAAACGCCAAGCATAGTGGCAGATTATACTCTTCGGTCTTCTGTATAACCCATAGAGTAAGGTAGAGTGGAAATATTTTCTATGGTTATATAAATATCATGCAATCTGAAGTTGACATCAAAAACATCATGTTGTCTTTTTTTAACTAATAAGAAGTTTCTTTAGTAAACAAAGATAACACTAGTGTGACAGTTCAAAATTTTTTACGTGACGTCATGAGATATAGCTATCGTACCACCTGTCAGCCATTTGCAAATTTGCTTTGCGTATTCTCGGAAGTAGTTTAGCTGTCAGTGTTATAAGTTTTGTGGTTATTTTCATTTATAACTTTAATTTATATAACTTTCATGGCAGAAAATTGTAAATTATTTATGCAAAACAATGCCTAGGTGCTGTATAATTGGTTGTGCGTCATCAATATCCCGCAAACCGAGCAATATTACGTTTCACCGGTAAGTTAAACACTTTCTTGGAATAACAGAATTTAAAACGTAAGTAAGTTATTCTGAAAATGATTGCGTGTATAAATCGATACATATCGTATTTTGGCGTGTTCTATTTATGCTATATTGCTCTTTTCGTTTATATTTTTATAATATTTCGGTCCGTAAATAATATTGTTTACATGGCTAGTGTCGTTACTTTAACATATGGTTTATATCGATAATTTTAATATTTAAAAATATATTAATTATTTTAGATTACCAAAAGATGAAACAAAAGAGGAAAATGGCCGAGTTACATAGAAGCAGAAAATATTAAATGTAATGAAATAGTTACTTTTATCTGCTCACTTCATTTTAGGGAAAGTTGTTTGAATCGAACTTTAAATATAATAAAATTACGAGATGATGCATTGCCAATCAAATACTCTGGTAAGAATTTTTGACAATTGCTTTTAACTTATTTAAAAAAAAATGTCTATTACACTTAGTTAATTTTCATTTGATTTTACTGATTTATTTATTAAGTTTTTTATTTAGTCATTTTGTTATTCTATAAATGTACCTTATTTTTAGTCTTGCGGTCATATGACGACTATTTTAATTGAAAAACATCAGAATGCAATATATAATAATATTAAAATATAAAATTCTGATCATAATATACTCCCAGTAAAATATACAATAAAATGAGTTAAATAATTTTAATAAAAATTAAAATATGCACACTTATCAAATTAAAGGCATAGTTAAAGGTTTTCTTTGCTGTTCAATAGTATAATCTTAATACCCAAATAATTATTTTGCGGCGTGGATGTTTATTTTGCTGATGCATCATAAAATACGCTACCTTTTTGAATTTAAATTGCTGACCGTTATCATGATTGTTCACAGAACATGAATTGCAGACTGTTTTAGTGCTGAGAAAATATTTGTATGCTTGCCTATTGATTAATCGGCTGTTTTCTTCTTGCTAACCAAATTTTTAAATAAAATGCCAATTGTTACTTCTTTAATAATGTTACTGTTATGCCAATTGTTACTTATTCATCACCAACTTTGTTTTCTTTATTTTCTCTTGTTTATTCATCAAAGTTTACAGTATTTTTATGTTCTTTTACCAATAATATAATACAAAGATTATGTAGGTGTTTCAAGTTTTCTATGTTTACTACTAAACAAGATGTTCTGAACTAAAATTGTGACACAGTACGCACGGTATCTCACTTAATGAGGAGGAAGCGAAATTTATTCAGTCAAAACAATTTATTGAATAAATTTATAGACAAGTTGGCTTACTAGTTACAAGCATATAAGAAAGTCGAAACTCTGTGCTTATAGTTCAGCAATCTATTACGGGAAACCTTGTACCGAGAAAAGAAGAAACTGTAAGAAAGGAACCGGTAAGAAACTGCAAGGGCTGCTTTTGCACCCTGTTTAATTTCGTACTGAAAAATAAAAAATGACTTCATTGGACCAAAATGTCACTTTCCACCAAAACAATAAAAAATATATAACAGACAAAAAAAAGCATAATAATTCATTCGTCAATCGACTCATTAAAAGCTTATTATAGTTACCGTGGTAGTTATCTTGGACAGTAGTCACACTTCCCGTGGATGCAAAATTAAACTTATGTTAAAAAAACTATTTAATTATAATTGCAAAATGTCAACTTGACAATATATATGGAAATAATTATAAAACACGATTGATATTATTGTAAAACTTTTAAGATATATATTTTGGTACTATAGTTCTTAAAACTATGTAAAATTGGCTATATTAGAGGAAAAAGAAACATATTTATCGAGGTACAATCATATTATAAAATTATATTATTAAATAATATAAATGTGAAAGTTTGTGAGGATGGATGTTGGTTACTCTCATGTAAAAACTACTGAACGGATTTTGATGAAATTTGGAATACGAATAATCTTTTACCCGTGGGAAGCGCCATCATACGCTGGTAACATATGTTATATTTACTATAGTGACGCAACGGAGTCGCAAGAACAAAGAACGCAAGAAATTTTAGATGTCCAACAAAATACGAGCAAAAGATTGCTTAATGATTTATAAATAATTGATAAATTCACGCCACTTTTAAAAAAATATTATTTTCTTGATACTGGCGTGAATTTTTCAATTTAATTAATAATAATCATAAATAGGATTGGTACGTAAGTGTGAAATGAATAGAAGTGTAATAGGTAATAGTTTAGCCATGCCCCTAACAATGAAAATTATATTATATTATTTAATAAGTAGTAGTATTGTAGCAGTTTCACGAAATACTAACTTTTATTTAATATGACTTCAATGTCGATACAAATATCGATATCTTGGGTCACGCCCTATGACAATCCGCCATCGAAGAATTTGCATTTGAAGTTTAGGCATATACGCTTTTTTCGTAGGTATGGCCGGTCCTCTTCTTTTATGTCTATGGTATAACCTGTCGCAGCGTATGAATGTGGTCTATGGTACTGTACCTTGATACTAGTATCAATGGTACCTTTTCGGAAACCGGCTTGTTCGGGAGGCTGGAAGTCGTCAAATCTACGTGCGAGACGATTCGTGATGACTCTCGAAAACAGCTTGTACACATGACTCAGAAGCGTGATGGGTCTGTAATTCCTCAATTGGGCCCTGTCGCCCTTTTTGAAGAAAAGCACCACCACGCCCCTGTGCCATGCTTCTGGCGTCTTGCCCTCGAGTATGGCGGAATTAAATAGCTTCTGAAGCGCTTTCCGGACTGGTAGTCCACCCGCTTTCAGAAGTTCCGCTGTGATTCCATCATACCCCGGCGCCTTGTTGTTCTTGAGCTGTTTGAGAGCCACACTAATCTCGTATAGACTGACGTCCGGGATGTCTTCGGTATAATGTCGGGTTAATTTGGCTCTAGGGTCTGTAGCCTCAATGACAGGTTTCTGTGATGTTGTGTATAACTGTCCATAGAAGCGTTCGATCTCCGCCACAAGCTCAGGACGGGATGTAACGACTCTGCCGTCCTCTGTCTTTAGCTTCGTCAGCAAGCTTTGTCCGAG